GCATCTCCCCACACACCCCAGGGGCGGGCCCGCACAAGTGTCGTGCGCCCAGAGATGGGGCCATGTGCCTCTGGGGCGGCGCTGCATGCCTGGGGTCCGGGGCGCCAAAATGGCTCGGGCTGGCCCTGATCAAATCCAGTCCCCTGCTCTCATGGCAGGACCCAGCACTGTCTAGACCATCCCTGGTCGATGTCTGTCTAGCATCTCCCCACACACCCCAGGGGCGGGCCCGCACAAGTGTCGTGCGCCCAGAGATGGGGCCATGTGCCTCTGGGGCGGCGCTGCATGCCTGGGGTCCGGGGCGCCAAAATGGCTCGGGCTGGCCCTGATCAAATCCAGTCCCCTGCTCTCATGGCAGGACCCAGCACTGTCTAGACCATCCCTGGTCGATGTCTGTCTAACCTGCTCTTAAATATCTCCAGAGATGGGGATTCTACAGCCTCCCTAGGCAACTTATTCCAGTGTTTAACCATCCTGACAGTGAGGAAGTTTTTCCTACTCTCCAACCTAAACCTGCCTTGCTGCAATTTAAGCCCATTGCTGCTTGTGCTATCCTCAGAGGCCAAGGAGAACAACTTTGGGGAACTGCTTTACTGTTTGCTGTAGTGTGGCAGTGATTGTTTTACCAGGTACTTTGAGAACAGGAGAGCCACTGAGCACCTTGATGGGAGTCACTGTGCAGCGCTACTGCCCACTGCAGCGAAGGCAAGGAGGCTCACGGAGATATCTCACAATTTTTATTTAAGAATAAATAAAAATCATTTTTTTCTGGCAACTCCCTCTGCTAACTAACAGAGCTGCCTTGCCAAGTGACTCCAAAGGACACGTGTCCTGATCACTTCTGTTGACTGCAGGCCTAATAAAAACTCAGCGTTGATAGAAAGAGTTATTGACTGCAAAGGGCTCTGTTAGCTCCCAAGGGCCCGGGAACAGCCAGGGAAAAAGAAAGCAACGTTTTATTAAGCCAATATATTTGTCACAGACCTGGGATTCGAATTTATACCTGCGCAGCCTTAGCACAAATGAGTCAAAGCTTTGAGTTGGTCCAGCTGACAGGAGGAACGTTGAAAAGAAATCCTCCGTCAAGTGCACCGACAGCACAGCTTCGTCTACACTGGCATGATTTTCCGAAAATGCTTTTAACGGAAAAGTTTTCCGTTAAAAGCATTTTTGGAAAAGCGCGTCTAGATTGGCAGGATGCTTTTCCGCAAAAGCACTTTTTGTGGAAAAGCGTCCGTGGCCAATCTAGACGCGGTTTTCTGCAAAAAAGCCCCGATCGCCATTTTTGCGATCGGGGCTTTTTTTGCGGAAAACAGTACTATGCTGTCTACACGGCCCTTTTGCGCAAAAGTCTTTCGGAAAAAGACTTTTGCCCGAACGGGAGCAGCATAGTATTTCCGGAAAAGCACTGACAATCTTACATGAGATCGTCAGAGCTTTCCCGGAAATTCAAGCGGCCAGTGTAGACAGCTGGCAAGTTTTTCCGCAAAAGCAGATGATTTTGCGGAAAAACTTGCCAGTCTAGACACGGCCCAAATGTACAAAGATGCTGAGATAGACAAACATAGATCAGACCGAGGGCACGTTACAGATCTGTTCCAAGATCCTTTCCTGTGTCTTGGAGTTTGTCTAAACACACACAGGTGGATGTGACTATTTGGTAGCTTCCCAAATGCAACATTATGGCAATGAACACCCAAACGCACATTCTCTGCCCATGGTTCATGAGAATACAGGCCATTCCGGTGGGTTTGGGGTTTTGTTTCGAATGGCTGATCCCTGGCTTTTCTCTTTGCTCCCCCCTCCTCACTGTAGCCCCATTTAGATTTTAATAATGATGTCACCCCTCCTTCCACACACCCCGCCCCACCCACACACTCGTGTATAGGCTTTGTTCTATGGCTGGCTCCTTCACGTCCTACCGACACACCGTTGGGAAAGAAGGTGCTCTGAAATGACCTGGCAAGGGGCCAGGATGAATTTCTAGAGGGTGGGAACCTCTCAGCTATCGCTGTGGCAAACAGTGTCACACAGTCCTCTTTTTCTCTGCATTAGTTCTTCGGTATAGGCGGTGTAGCCCAGGTGACACTGGGAAAAGGAGTATATGGAGAATATCTGAGCATCAACTTGGCATTTGGAATTGGCGTCACTATGGGGATTCATGCAGCCGGCAGCATCTCTGGTGAGTAGGACAGCAGTGAAATGTATTAGTGCCTCCTCATAAAATGAGGGTCACAGGAGTTAGAGTAAGAAGCTCTCCAGTGCGACATTATGTCAAAATAACGGCTTGTTGTGTAGATGCAGACTATGCTATTTCGGAATAACGTCAGTTAGTCCGAAATAACACTGCTATGTAGATGTACCCTTAGGCTATGTCAACACTGGCGGGTTCTTGTGCAAGAACTCTTGTGCAAGAACACGTCCACACAGCCATGTGCTTTTGCACAAGAGCATCCATGGCACTGTGGACGCTCTCTTGCGAAAGAAAGCTCTCATGGGCATTTTAGCCATAGGGCTTTCTTGCGCAAGAAACCCCTGCCGTGCAGCCACACTGCGCCCTTGCGCAAGAGAGCTTACACTTGTTAGAAAAGAGCGTAGTTCTTGTGCAAGAAGCCCTCTCTTCCCACGCTTTACTGTAAATCTTCTTGCGCAAGAGCGGGTGGGCAGTGTGGATGCTCTGCGGAAGAAGGCCATTCTTGTGCAAGAACCTGCGGGTGTAGACATAGCCTTAGGGTCCTAAGTAATCTCCTTCCTTAGTCTTTGTTTTGCACGATGCTTTTCCTCCTCAGAGGTGTGTGCGCGTTCATTTCACGAATGCAATGGTTTTGATAAGGAAAATGTGTGTTTTGGGTCTTTTCCTACAGAAAAGAGGAGCTGGTCAGAAAGGTTGGAGAATAGGCTCATGATGATAATCATTTGTGGTTCGTAGTACGGACAGGCTCCAACCGAGATCAGGTTCCCACTGTGTCTGATGCTGTATAAACACAGATCAGACATAGGTCCTGCCAGTCCAGCGCCTTCCTCACAAGAGCAGAAAAACAGCTATTACTGCCTTAGGAAAACAAGAGGCTGAAATAAATCCATTCTTAGACTGTGAGCTCCTTGGACCGAGACTGGATCTGCCCTGCCCCATTTCTTTGGTGTAATTGTAATCAAGTAATGATTGATAACTGTGAGAAACACCCTCCAAAGCAGGCCACCTCCCAGAGCTAAGCTGAAGATCTCCTTATAAAACCATGGGAAGCTCACACCTTAAATACTATGTACAAATGTGGTCGCCTCATCTCCAAAAAGATCTCTCGGCATTGGAAAAGGTTCAGAGAAGGGCAACAAAAATGATTAAGGGTTTGGAACGGGTCCCATATGAAGAGAGACTAAAAAGACTGGCACTTTTCAGCTTAGAAGAGAGGAGAGACTAAGGGGGGATATGACAGAGGTCCATAAAATAATGACTAATGTGGAAAAAGTGAATAAGGAAAAGTTATCTGCTTGTTCCCATAATATAAGAACTAGGTAGGGGTCACCAAAAGAAATTGATAGATAGCAGGTTTAAAAGAAACAAAACGAAGTTTCTCTTCATGCAGTGCACAGTCAACCTGTGGAACTCCTTGCCAGAGGATGTTGTGAAGACTAGGACATAACCGGGTTTAAAAAAGAACTAGATAGATTCACGGAGGTTATGCCCATCGATGGCTCTTAGCCAGGATGGGTAGGAATAGTGTCCCTAGCTTCTGTTTGTCTGGAAATGGATGACAGGGGAGGGATCACGTGACGATTACCTGTTATGTTCCCCCCCTCTAGGGCATCTGGCACTGGCCACTGTGGGCAGACAGGAAATGGGCGAGATGGACCTTTGGTCTGACCCAGTCTGGCCATTCTTATGTTATGTTCTTCAGTTTCTGGCAGGTTATTGACAGTGTGTTTTCGTCTTTTTGACTTTGCTACTCATCTCTTCAGCGATGGGGGTCACTGGGGAATCCAAAGTTTTGTCATGCCCTCTCTGTACCTCAACCTTTTACTTTCAAACCAGACATGGGGCCTGACTTTAGCGGTGCCAAGAATCTGCAGCTCCCGCTGACTTTAGGGGAGGATTACTCTGCCCTGCATGGCTTAGGGTCAGGCCCTTGGTGTATGTCATCGCTCAACTTGGAACAGCACATAAACTCTAGAGCAGAGAGGTTTAACCATTGTAGCTGAGATGGGGCCTGATTTACCCTTAGCCTGCACCTGGTGGTGTCTTCTACACCTGCGGAGAGTGACAGCACGTGGGTGTAAGCGCTACTGCTGTGATTTGTTATGCAAGGTTCAGGAGAATCATAAACCAGTGAGCCCAGAGCCTTCGGTTTGTTCCCTGCTGCACTTGCTGGGCTGGAAATAAAGGCCAGCTGAGCACCTGGGATTTCTAGGAAAACGTCTCACGCTCCCTGAGCATGGGATGGAGCAATGAACTAACTCACCGGCAGCACGAGAGCTAGGATGTGGGAATCTGGAACGGTAGCAATATTTATAAGGGAGATGTAATATATATACGTGTATCTGAGCTTGTCCACAGGTATGCGTGTTTTTAAACAGGAGCTCACTTGAATGCCGCCATCACCTTCACCCACTGCGTCTTCAGAAATCTTCCCTGGAGAAAGCTGCCAGCGTACATCATCGGCCAATTCCTGGGCTCCTTCACTGCAGCCTTCCTAATGTTCTGCATGTACTATGGTAAGGTTGCTTTCCCAACGCTCTCGTAATTGCTGGGGATGGGTTGGTTCTCGTGCTGGTCCTCACAAAGGAGATGCTGCTCCCGGCGAGGGATGTGAATCCTGGGGGTTCACACTGCAGTGATTCGCTTTCTGCAAAGCTAACCACATTGTTAGGCTTGTTTATATTAGATAGACAGGTGAGCGCTCTTATCTGCCCTGGGATCTCTCTTTACACCTGAATAGGAAACTCAGTGCTCTCCTCTCCTGCCAAGCCCCTGGCAAGAGAGATGGGCTTTGCGCCGTGGCCATAAGGCCAATAGATGTGGGTTTATTCAGGCGACCTGCAGGAGCAAATTCCAGCGTTCTCAGCTGACAGTGCTTGTTAGTCGTATGCAGACAGCTAAGCTCTGGGACCATTAAGTGAGTCCTCTGCTCCTTCATCTATTGGTGTGCCTTGGGGGAGAGGGAGGTTTCTTGGCTAGCCAGATCAGACGTGTCTACACTGCAATGTAAGCCCAGGGCTGGTAGAACCGGAGTTAGCAGGCCCTGGTTTTCTTAACCTAGGGCTCGAGCGTCTCTGCTCATTTGTGACCCCAAGTGGGGCAGTGTCGAATCCTCGGGCTTAATCTGTGGTTTCCGCATTTATTGATCATGCGACCAACACCCATCACCCAGATTTCCTAGAGCCGCCCCCAAACGTTACACTGCACTGAAGCCATCCCCATAGAGCCGTCTTGCTCGCCGCCAATAGCCTGGAGTGCGTTTGCTGGAGAGCCCCGCGGTTAGGCAGCTGCATTCCGAGCCAGCTGGTGCTTTCAAAGGTCTGGAAGCGTCCTCCTTCCCCACACGTAGGACATCGGAGGCAGGCCTGCTATGAGTCACAAGCCTGGGGTTGCTGTGGGGAGCCCTGGATCCAGCTGCCGCTGACCTCCCCTGGGACCGGCGGGCACAGCCGCACGGAAGGAATTGGCATTTATTTTACTGCCAGCAGTGCCCAGGAGGGAGAGCTGCTAAAAGCCAGCTCAAGGCCTGCCGGAAGAGCCTGAGCGGGAGCAGAGAAGGCAGCTCTGTTTTCCCCAAGAAGCCCCGGTGCTTTCCTCAGCCACACCCCCGCAGCCCACATCCAAGCCTCTGCTTGTCTGAGAGGCACATGAGGGGCTGGAAGCCTGTGGCCATAATAAAACTCCTCTGAGCAAAGTCTTAGGGAGCTGACTCCTCTGGGCAAAGCTCAAGGGGCTGACGTCTCTGGAATAGGTGTGGCTGCCTGGCCACGGCGCTCTCCCCTCCAGCGTGTGTCTCTCCTGAGGGCAGCCAGCCTTTGCGTTCAGTCGGGGAGCGATCCTCCTGCTCTCTGTCCTCACGAGGGCCCCGTGACCTCCTGCAGCTTCCATGACTTCCACAGCAGCCAGCGTGGCTGACTCCAGGGTCACCAAGCAGCTGGTCCCGCTGCTGCCCTAGCCCTGCTGCACCTCAATGCAGCTGCTGGCCCCTCCTGCCGTTGGTGTCATGTGTCCCCCTCCACAGCTCCTCTCTCCCCCTAAATCAATCAAGGCCGTGGACAGGTCAGAGGCAGTGACTGTTTGTTTCTTGCCCTTGACCCGACCATGACTTTTGCTACAAGTACCTGTGACCAAATCATACCCTTGCTCACCAGCTCGCGGCCCAGCACTAACCCCCTGCCTTCCCTTTCTCCTAGATGCACTGTGTGACTACTCCGGAGGCAACTTCTATGTGGTGGGACCTAATGGCACAGCCGGGATCTTCGCCACCTACCCTGCTCCGTATATGACTGTGCTGGGGGGCTTTGTGGATGAGGTCAGTGCCCAGGATTTCTCTGCCCTGTCGCTGGGGTGTCTGGAGCACAGCAGTGGGGTCCTCGGCGTGGTGACGGGGTGCTGTTGCAGGCTTAAGGCAGTACGCTCAACAACTGCCCTGATGAGCGTACAGTGGAGGATGTTTGGCTGCAGCACAGAGGAGTGAATTTAAAGATGAACAGGCAGATAGGTGCACACATACTGAGTGCAGAGGAGGGTGTCTGGAGTCTTAGGCTACAGCTACACTACAGCAGGAAGCCATGCTCCGAGATCAATTTACCAGCAGTCAATTTAGCTGGTCTAGTCGAGACCTGCCAAATCGATCACATACAGTGGAGGATGTTTGGCTGCAGCACAGAGGAGTGAATTTAAAGATGAACAGGCAGATAGGTGCACACATACTGAGTGCAGAGGAGGGTGTCTGGAGTCTTAGGCTACAGCTACACTACAGCAGGAAGCCATGCTCCGAGATCAATTTACCAGCAGTCAATTTAGCTGGTCTAGTCGAGACCTGCCAAATCGATCACAGATCACTTTGCAATTGACTCCCATACCCTGCCCCTGGTGAGAAGCATAAGAGAAATTGATGGGAGAGTTTCTCCCACTGACCCCTTGCGATGTAGATCTTAGACTTTTGGTGCTAGTTTTGACCTAGGCTTAGTATGGGGAAGAGAATGATCAGCACTGAAGTTCAAAGTGCATTTGTCGGTTTTTCTTCACTCAGCACACAGTCAACCTGTGGAACTCCTTGCCAGAGGATGTGGTGAAGACCAGGACTTTAACAGGGTTCAAAAAAGAGCTAGATAGATTCATGGAGGTTAGGTCCATCAATGGCTATTAGCCAGGATGGGTAGGACTGGTGTCCCTAGCCTCTGTCTGTAAATGGGTGACAGGGGAGGGATCACATGATGATTGCTGGATGTGTTCACTCCCTCTGGAGTGTCTGGTATTGGTCACTGTCAGCCGACAGGATACTGGGCTGGATGGACCTTTGGTCTGACCCATTATTGCCTTTCTTATGTTCCATTAGATGACTGCTCTGTAAGGCACATGGTTGCTACTAGGAATATTTCAAACTCTTTACAGCTTTTTGTTTGTTTTCTTTCCAAAATTATTTTAGTTGCCCAAAGAATTACTGCTGAAATGTACCTTGGTTAGGAGAGCCTCAGTACCCTCATACACCCTGCGGTAGAGAGGGCAGGCAGATGGGGCTTCCCTCCTCTCTCTGCATCATGGAGGGGTCTCTGAGCCAGCTCTGAATAGGCTGGTGAAGAGATGTTGGGAAAAGTTTGATCTTATGGCTTCACCCCATGGAGGAACAGCATAGGGAGAACTAGGTGCCAGACCCTGAGGCTTCCAGGTGTGGAGAAGTCTGGAGGATCAGCTCTCCCCTTTCCCACTCTTCATTCTTTTAGCCTGCAGCTCCTGAAACAGTGGCTTCCGGCTGTGGGACTATTGGTGGTTTGGTTTTGCTGCTGCTTGGTTGCATGAAGCCCTCTAGTCCGGCATAGCGAGGAAATCCTCCCCTGCTGGCAGCGAGGGCAGAGATGTGCTCAGGAAGGGTGACTGTTTTTAGGATTACCTGAGGGCTTGAGTCACCCTGCTTGAGTCAATGGGCGTTACAGGAGCACTTCTCGGGATCTGGTCCTAAAGGCCTTTATTCCTCTGGGTATGTCTACACTACAAAGTTAATTCGAACTAACAGCCGTTAGTTCGAATTAACTTTGATAGGCGCTACACATACAAACCGCTAGTTCGAACTTCATTCGAACTAGCGGAGCGCTTAATTCGAACTAGGTAAACATCATTCTACAAGGACTAACGCCTAGTTCGAATTAAGCAGTTCAAATTAAGGGCTGTGTAGCCACTTAATTCGAACTAGTGGGAGGCTAGCCCTCCCCAGCTTTCCCTCATGGCCACTCTGGGCACCACCAGGGAAACTCGTCTGCCCCCCTCCCGGCCCCAGAGCCCTTAAAGGGGCACGGGCTGGCTATGGTGCCCGTGCCAGGTGCAAGCCTGCCCGCACCCAGCCAGCAGGCCC